GTAAAGTGGAGGGTCAATGAAAAAAAAGAAGGCCCTCAACAAGATGGATTAACACAGTGGGAGCAATGATAGGCTCAGGTATAGCATGGATTGTGAGGCTGCCACAGGACTGGATTTCATGCCATTGTACATAAGGTTGCTATGAGTCAATAAGGTTGCTGTGAGTCAGAGACAACTTGATGGCACCTAACAAAAACAGCAACAACCTATTCCACTGTCTCATAACTGTTTGCCTGGACCTTCTGTTTTAAGCACACCATCATATATGTACATGCTTTATAATAGCTATCTTTTATGTAAGCAGTCACTACGTGCCAGACCATCATCTAAGCACTTGATACATGCTAACAACCCGTTTCATTTTTATAGCATCCCAATTCTTACCTCCAGTTTACATACAAAGAAAGGAAACAGAGTTAAGAAACTTTCCCAATTTGCAGACTGTATGCATATGTAATTAATGAAAAGAATACACATGCAGTTGAATAATATTATTATATTATGTCTCTTCTCAAAGAAAAATAATCCCAGGTTCCATTTCCACACTTTGGTTTAGGAAATACTAATTGAAGATATGGTAAGTTAATATAGGGGGGGAGGGATACATGAATGCATAATGCCTAATTTGTTCCTATAAACGGTTTACTCCAGTTAGAGAAATAGGAGACATAAACTTAAGAGCAGTGAGGACATGAGGTGTTCTGTGATAGTGCATGACTCAGTTTCATTGATTAGTAGGGACTGTGGGCTGCAGAGGGAAGGGTAGACTTTGTGGGAAAGGAGGACCCCAGATGAACATGCAGGGTAGGTGGGCTTTGTTTAGGCAGTAAAGAGCAGACTTGCTTCAAAACACAACTGTCCCTTTAATTTCAGTGAAAAAAAGATTAAAAAGCTGCTTCTATGTAGCCACTTCTCAAATATGACCAGATATTAACTTGTTAATGGCTACAAAATAGTAAAATTTTCCATAATTTATTTCTTTGTTCAACAGAAGGATGCCAGAGGCTTAGGAAAATTCATTATTATCCAAAGGTGGTTTTTTCCACCAGGGATTATCCCCAGGGATTAAAAAAGTTCACTCACATATGTTTTAAGGAAAGAAGGTGGGAAACTATAAATCTGTATAAGTGTACTAGGGGCAGTGAGTAGAGTAACATTAGCAGAGAGTTCTAGAATAAGAATCCACAAACTTTTTCCATAAAGAGCTAGGTAGTAAATATTTTATGCATTTCAGGCCACATGTGGTCTCTGTTGCAACTATTAAACTCTGTGGTTGTGGTACAAAAACAGACCATAGATAATACATAAAAGAATAATTGTGTCTTTGTTCCAATAAAACTTTATTTATTAAAAATAAGTGGCAGGCCAGATTTGACCTGTGGGACATACTTGAGAACTTCCTCTGGAGAAAAAGGTTAAAAAGGCACCTTAAATGCCAGTCAAAACAACTTTTGTTATATCCCTTAAGTGACGGAGGATATCAAAGATTTACCGTTTTTTTTTGCTCTGGAGAAGCTAGCTCATGTGTATAACATGCCCCTTTTGTCATCATATTCCATCCAAATTCCATAAAAAGCTTCCAGGAAAGCTAAGCTGTATCCTCAGGCAGATACTGAAAAATAATGCATTCAATTCTGCCTGCCAGTGTCTTAAGAATTTGCATTTGTGGACCTTAGGTCAGTTGAGCTAAGAGGGATATAACAGTTTACTCTTCCTGTTATGATAGAGGGATGGGGGTATGAGCTCCATTGGAAGTGGGACAAAGCACTGAATATGGTTAGAGGAAAATATGTGCAAGCCTATATTATTTTTAAACTGATTCCCAGGACCTATGTCTTACAGTTTTGATCATAAACCTGAGGAATATTGGCAGACTAGTCTGTTGAGGTATAATTCTGCCCAAACTCACACAGGTTAAAACGTTTTAAATGCTGCTGGGTATCCAAAGCCAATCAGATTGCCAGGTTTAGCAAATAAAAATCCAGGATGCCCAGTTAAATTTGAATTTCAGAGCAATAACAACAACAACAAAAATTTAGTGTAAGTATGTTCCCTTCTCATAGCAACCCCACATGACAGAGTGGAACTGCATATAGTGTTTTCTAGGCTATAATCTTTATGGGAACTAGGTTTTCTCCCACAGAACTGCTGGGTGGGTTCTATCAGCCGATGTTTTGCTTTGGCCAAGTGGGGTTGCCATGAGTCAGAATTAACTGGATGGCATGCAACAATAATAACAACATGTTCCATGGAATAATTGGGGCAAAACAACAATTACAACAATAAAAACACTGCCATTGAGTCTATTCCAACTCACAGTGATTCTTTGAACAGAGTAGCACTGCCTCATAGCGTTTCCAAAGCTGTAAATCTTTATGGAAGCAGACTACCTCATCTTTCTTCTGTGGAGCAGTTAGTGGGTTTGAACTGCTGACCTTTTAGTTAGCAGATGGATGCCTTAACCACTGCACCACCAGAGCCCCTATTTGGGGCATACTTATATTAAAAAATTGTTCATTCTTTGTGTGTGTGTGTTTTATTTTTATCTTTTCATGGTGTGTGATGGTATTTGAGCCTTCTTCGTGGCTAGCTTTTATCACTGCCTTTTATCAGGGAGAGTTAGCAAGATGATGAATATGTAGTCTCTTCCATTTTCTGTAATCTTATTTATTTATTTATTACCTCCCCTTTTACCCAAGTTATTATGTGTCTACTCTCTAGTTAGTGGTTTACCCTCCCTTCCTTACCCACCCTGGAAACCATCAAAGAATATTTCTTTTTTTGTGAAACCCTGTTCTTGACTTTACAATAGTGATCTCATACAATATTTGTCCTTTTGTGATCGACTAATTTCACTCAGTGCAATGGCAAAAGTTCATCCATGTTCTGAGATATTTCACAGACTTATCATTGTTCTTTAATGTTGCATAGTATTCCATTGTGTATATGTACCATAGTTTGTGGACCCATTCCTCCACTGATGGGCATTTAGGTGGTTTTCTCCTTCTATATACTATTGTGCAAAAATGCTACAGTGAACATGGGTGTGCATATATCTGTTCATGTCATGGCTGTTATTTCCCTAGGATATATACCTAGTAGTAGGATTGCTGGATCATGTGGTATTTCTATTTCCAGCTTTTTAAGGAAGCACCATACCGTTTTACACAGTGGTTGCACTATTTTGCAGTCGTACCATTTTACAGTCACACCAGCAGTGTATGAGGGTTTCAATCTCTCCATACCCTCACTAGCATTTATTGTTTTCTGTTTTTTTTGAACTTTGCTATTAGCACTGAGGTGAGATGATATCTCAGTGTTGTTTTGGTTTGTGTCTCTCTAATGGCTAATGATCACAAGCATTTCTTCATGTGAGAAACCATTATCTGAAATTCCAATTTACCTGGGCATACTGAATTTTATCTGGCAATTTTAGAAATGAAGATAGGTGATTAAATAGTTTTTCACAGTACGTTTTCAAAATTATATCAGTTGATTAGCTATCCTTCACCAAGGTTGTTCTTTTTCTTTTAATTGTGGAAGTCTGATGACAGTGAATCTCATTAATTCCAACCTCACTGGTTTAGAATTTTGACTATTTATACAATGGCTGTGCTAATAAAGTGCACTTTATTTTCTTCATGAACTTGGTAAGCCTATTTGTCATTGATAGTACAAACAAAACTGAAATAGAACTATTTATCTCCTTGGGAGACTACAAATAGTGTAATTACAATTGTGTAATCAGAGGCTATCGTTATTTAGGCTGAGTTTTTCACCTCATAATTACAGATCATTCTCAGTTACTCATTAAAACAAGACAAGACTTTAGCAGGCAGAGCCAAGTACAGCCACCTTGATCCCCAGTGCCCCCTTTGCATCCCAGCTGCCTTCTGGTAAATGTGTGAGCTTTCCAGCTCTGTTTGACTGCATGCTTTGTAAGGCAGGGATATTTGTTTTGTTCATCATTCTATCTCTAGAGCCTTGCATAATATTCATTACTTAAAAGCCCCACTAGAAGTGTTTACTAGTTGAATGAATGCTATCTGCATGTGTTAAAAAATCAAGCCATTTCTAAATATTTTGCATTTTGAATTAAAAAATAATTGGTTACTTTATTTGAAATGTAAGCACATGAAGGGAATTTTCAATAAACTGATTTCACTACGTATTGGCCTTGGAGACAGGCCAACAATGAAAAGGTGGATCTGAACTTCCTCCAATTGTGTTTTCCAGAACAGAAAGATAGAGAGGTGCTGGTCGAATCACCATGGGCACCCCTGTGAGCTTTCTTTGGTTCAGTGGTCTCAAGCTTTAAAGCTGGTAATGACATTTGCAGGATTAAATAGTGTCTCTCTCTCTCTCTCTCTCTCTCTCTCTCTCTCCCTCCCACACACACACACACACACACACACACACGTGCAATAAATACCCATTAGGGCCAAAGAGATAAAAGAGGATCTTTTGACTGGTTACTAAGTCTGGCTGACACTGATAAATAATACATTAATGACTAAAACAAATATATAGACATTTACATATTCTAAACCACATTCCATAGTATTAGAGACCACCATATACACACCACCTTACCCCTGAGAACTACCAATGGATTCTGGATTCTTGAGAGAAATTAAGCATGAGTGGGTTATGTGTGGGAAAGGTAATAGCAAAATTTATATTTCTTGGTATCGGTCAGCATCCAGCCTTGGAAGCATACTCAGGTGAGACTTGCTCTCAGTTTCCACCTGTGGCTTTATTCTTCTCTATTTCCTCAGCAGAGAAAAATGATTAATAGGTAACCAGGAGATTAGGAATCAAATCCAATAATCCTGCCCATGTCTCTGAAGTATTTTTAATAGCAATGAGAGACAGCACCAAATGAATACATGTTAGTGTTGAAACAGAGCTGGGCACAAAGTTCCTTGGATGTGGTCCTTCCTTTTAAGAGAATTGACTCTTGGTCTGACTATTCCCTTTTGTTCTCCCTTCTTTCACAGCACCCTGGAAGGGTATTATGTGGACGATGCCCTGCAGGGCCAGGGAGTTTATACTTACGAAGACGGGGGAGTTCTCCAAGGCACCTATATAGACGGAGAACTAAATGGTCCGGCCCAGGAATACGACACAGACGGGAGGCTGATCTTCAAGGGACAATATAAAGATAATATTCGGCATGGAGTTTGCTGGATTTATTACCCAGTAAGCCCTATGAAGGAGCCCTCGTGGCACAGTGGTTAAGCACTCAGCTGCTAACCCATAGGTTGGCAGTTTGAACCCATCTACCTCTCCACAGGAGAAAGATGTGGCAGTTTGTATCTGTAAAGATTTACAATCTCGGAAACCCTGTGGTGCAGTTCTACTCTGACCTATAAGATCACTATGAGTCGGAATCAACTCAACAGCAGTGGGAAGCCTTATGACTGTTCATTTTGCAGGAAAGTAACAGGTGTTAGGACATTTAAGTTGTTGCTTTGACTCTTCACAATAAAGAGGAAAATGTGGTCTCTGTGTTAGAAATTGAGCTGTGACTCTAGAAAGTTAAACAATAGCTTCAGCCAACAGTTCATGAGACATTCCTAGCACTTTTATTAACTGTTGACTTAGACTGTGAATCCTTATATCTGCTATTAATTATTTTCCACTGTTGTTTTAGAAACAAATGATTCATCATGATCAAAACATATTGGGGCCTTGGGGAATTTTGGGTGGTGGTGGAACAATTCTGGATCTCGACTATGGTGATGTTTTAAAAAAAGAAGGAAAGAATGAAAAGCAGGTGTATATATATGTGTGTGTGTGTGTATAAACTCAAACTGGAACAAATTCATTTTATTGTATCATTAATAAAGGGAAAAATATATTGCTTTTAATTTCTTTGGCAGATAGAAGATGGTGGAGTTGTTCGATTTTGCTATTTTATTGTAGAACCAAGCTAGCAATTTTCATTTATTGTTTTGGGTTTTTTTTTTTTTTTTTTTTTTGAGTTGTTACACTACTGTTACTTGATTTTACAATTCTACTCCCTACATTTTAAGGTACTTTAGGGTTTGTATTGCTTGAATTAAGGTGATTAAAATGAACTTGCTTTTGAGTATTTGATAACATTTCATAATATACAAAAACCAAACCAAACTCACTGCCATCAAGTTGGGTCTGACTCATAGCAACCCCTCCTTGGATTTCCAAAGTGATATCACCACGGAAGTAGATTGCCCAGCCTTCCTTCTGAGAAGTGGCTGGTGGGTTTGAACCGCAAGCCTTCTGGTTAACAGTCAAATGCTTTAGGCAACATAGCTGGAGTTCATTAAAGTAAAAATGTGGCAGAACCCATGGTTGGGAATTAATGCTCTAATTTTTGTTTGCATTTAAAATATCCTGTCTGTTGTTAGTGAGTTTCCAGAAAACTTTTCAGAAAAGAGATCATAGAAAATATTTTATTTAAAATTTTATTTTATCCAGAGCTTAAGTCAAAATACATTTTTTCCTTTCTCTGAATGCTATCTTCTTATGCTTGAAAAGTATAAAAACAAATTATCTAATACATATATGAGAATCATGTTGTTAATTGCCACGGAGTCCATTCCGACTCTCCAGTTAAAAAAATAAGTTACACTCTAGGAATGTTGTTGGGTGTCATGGAGTCAGTTTTCAACTTATGGTGACCCCATGTGACAAAGTAGAATTGCCCCCACTGGTGGTTTAGTGCCTAAGACATTTGACTGCTAACCAGAAGGTTGGTGGTTCAAACTCATCAGCCACTCCATGGAAGGAAGATGGGGCAGTCTACTTCTATAAAGATTTACCACCTCAGAAACCCAATGAGAGTTGCTATGAATTGTCAGAACTACTTAATGGCAGTGAGTTTGGTTTTTGGTTTAATGTCATAGGGAGTAGATCACCAAGTCTTTCTCCCAAGGGGCCATTGGGTGCATTCAAACAAACCTTTCAGCTGGAAGCTGAACACTTAACTCTTGTGCCACCAGGGCTGCTTACTTTAGGAATAGGGCATAGGAACGAATGTAAAATATTACTTTAAAGAATTACTAAAACGTTTACATATCCTCTTGGTGTAGAGTTTGTGATTGATCAAAAGTCATTTTAGTTACTGCCTAGAAGGCAAGGAGAAGGACAGGAAGTGGGTCAAAGTAAGAGTGTAGGAAGACAAACTTTCATTGCTTTGTGACTGGCCAGATTTAGCATCTTTGTACCCAGTGGTTGGGGACTGCTGATAAGAATTTTGAAGTCAGAGAAAGTGGGAGTCCGTGTGTGGTAGTGAGGATAAAAAGAGGCAATATATGAAAGACCAGAATCTCCTACTACCTGTCATTTTACCTGTGACTATGATCCACTCAAGTCCCTAGATGAAATCAGAGGTGCACTACTGTGGGTGAATGGATCCACCTCACTCAGTGTAGTTGCCTTTTGAAACCTGAAAATACAGCTACATTTTAAATTATTAAATCATTAAATACCAACTCTTAGGGAGGAAGCATTGGGGTATTGAAATCTTTTAAAATTTATTTGGCTGATACACTTACTTTATATATGCTGTCTTTTGGTAGTTGAGAGGACCAATCACCCCTCTCTACCTTCTGGGTTTGGAATCTGTTAAGAAATTGACATCAGTGTCAGGAGTCAAGATGTCCCTTTGGTTATGGCAGTGTTAGATTGGAGATGTGGTATAGACCCAAAGCCAAAATGGGCCTCCTACTCCTTCCCTTCTGAACTGAATAGATGGACCAGCTGCAAACAGAGCAGCTAGAAAGCTGCAAGTTCCCTGGGTGAGCAGGGCCTTCCTGGGTGAACTTCCCCAGGGAGGGGCAGGAATGGATAGGGGAGCAGGTGCAGCCTGTGGGCACTGCCAGTTCCCAGGACCCAGGAGAGGGTGAGCAAAAAATGAGGCCACAGAGGAGAAGCAGTCTTTGGCCTGTGAACCCCACCCCGTAGACAAATGGATGTCAGAAGGTATCAGATACTTTGTTACCAATCAATCCCACGGGGAAGGCCCAGTATGCCCAAGAGAGAAAGCAGAAACTTCTTCCCCAATACCTCCCTCCACAAGAAGATGAAAGAGTTTTGTGACATGGGACAAAGTAGGAACAAGGAGAGGAAAAAGTAATGCTTCTCCCTATAGTGTTTGCAAATGCACTCTAAGCACAGTTTATTTCTTTCAGAAATTTACTTTGGAACAGTGATGTAAAGTTTTTAATTAAAAATTCATTCCTCCCTTTGGAAATAAAAGAAGAACTTCAGCTTCATCTTTGTAGACAACTAAATTGACTTTTTCCCAAACCAGAAGTTTAAAGCATTTAAAGGAAAAGACCAAATCCAGTTATAAGTAAATAGTAATGATGCTAGCTTATATTAGTAATGGCGTGTGAGAAGCACAAATGCCCCAGCACGCCTCAGCTCAATAATCATCACTGAAAGCCTGAAGGCAGATCTTTCAGAGAGCACCAACCATATTTGTGCTGGGTTATAAAGAATTAACTTGAGGAGAAGAAAGAGCAATAAATATATTCCTAATGCACTTTCTGTACATGAAAAGTGCTTCTAATTATGTCTCTTTCTATGGAAGTGCCATGATGTGTTTTTAAAGAGCAATTAGACTACTGTGTACTGTAGAAATCACGTACCTGATGTTCCTTATTCCTGCTGTCTCTCAGTAAGCCGCATTTGGCATCACTCATCCTGCATCACTGACTTTGAGTAGGAACCTTTGAGTTGGGGAAATAACCAAGCTTTTAGAAGATATCGTGGTATTACTGTTGTTATAGCAAACTCAGAAAAGTCTTAGATCTCCAAAGTTAGACCATGAGGACAGTCAGCAGTCAGGACATCAGATGACGTATAGGACTGGGCAAATCAGCTGCAAAGGACCTCTTTCAAGTGCTGAAGAGCAAAGATGTCTCCTTGAGGACCAAGTTGCGCCTGACACAAGCTATGGTATTTTCAGTCACCTCATATACATGTGAGAGCTAGACAATGAATAAGGAAGACAGAAGAAGAATTGATGCTTTTGAGCTGTGGGGTTGGTGAAGAATGCTGAAAGTACCATGGACTGCTAAAAGAACTAACAGGTCTGTCTTGGAGGAAGTGCAGCCACAATGCTTCTTGGAGGCGAGAATGGCCAGACTTTATCTCACCTACTTTGGTCATGTTGTCAGAAGGGACCATTCCCTGGAGAAGGATGTCATGCTTGGTAAGGTGGAGGGTCAATGAAAGAGGGGAAGGCCCTCAATGAGATGGATTGACACAGTGGCAGTGGCAATGTGGTCAAGCATAGCAAGAATCATGGAACTGGCGCAGGACCAGGCGGCATCTCGTTCTGCTGTGCATGGGGTCGCTATAAGTCGGAAACGACTCGACAGCATCTAACAACAACAGCAACACCATAAGGACCTTCTGGGTGAAAATAAAAAGGAAACACTTTCTTACACCCTAGATTAGAATACTCATTACTTTTTGATATCCCAGTTCAATTCAACAAGTATTTGTGGATCACCTCCTGTGTCCCTAGCACTTGAGCAGGATACAGAATTATTTGATAGCCTTAATGGCCCTTAGCAAATGAAGTGAATGAGAGTTAAACATGAAGCAAAATTGGCTTCTCTCCTGGAAATAGGCAGGAGGGAGCATTGAATAAAGAAGAGTGGGAAGAAAGAAAGTGATGATGAAGACAGTATAATTTAGATGTTTATCTCTTAGAAAAGGCAGACCATGTATCTGTACAGTAAATTATTCTGAAGTACATTTGAATTAGACTTTCTTAATTGACCAGAAATTCAAAATTCAATGTCAAAGAGTGAGATTGTATAAAAAGTGGGTAAGACTGCCTTTCTAAGGTCTACATCATAGTTGATAGTGGTCAAATATAATGTTTAGTTGCATTTCCTTTTAATGTTTGTATTTAATATCAAAACCAAAAAACAAACTCACTGCTGTCAAGTTGGCTCCAACTCATAGGGACCCCTCCTTAGGTTTCCGAGGTGGTATCAGAAGTAGATTGCCCAACCTTCCTTCCAAGGAGTGTCTGGTGGAATTGAACTGCCAACCTTTTGGTTAGCAGTCAAATGTCTTAGGCACTATGCCACCAGAGCTCCCTGTAATGAATGTAACAAATTTAATATTTGTTTCTTAGGTAACCAAGAGAGAATATTAGTAAATTGACTAGGATTACATAGCAAATATTGACCAAGCCAATAATAGAGCAACTCAGTATCTCACTCTCTGAATCAAGCATGCATACTTCCTTTGCATATTACTTTGTAGAAATTTATTTTTGTATAAGGGAGAATGAGAAGATATGCATTCTGTTCTTCTCGCTCATGTGAAAAGCTCTTGGTTCTGAAACTATTATCATTATTAGTGCTATTAAGAAGACGACTATAAAAGAGAAATTTTTTGAACTCATGTTATATAGATAAGTACTATATATAATATTTTATGATTTTTGGTTTCTCCTGCCAGGATGGAGGTAGCCTTGTAGGAGAAGTAAATGAAGATGGAGAGATGACTGGAGAGAAAATAGCCTATGTGTATCCTGATGAGAGGACTGCACTTTATGGAAGATTCATTGATGGAGAGATGATAGAAGGAAAACTGGCCACCCTTACATCCACTGAAGAAGGGAGACCTCACTTTGAACTGAAGCCTGGAAGTAAGTTGACTGTGTTCCAGATGTGTCAGTCTAATTTGAAAGCAAGTTGCTAGAGCTGTTTGAGAGGAGTTTATTTTTTTCTCCACTGAGTCCACTTTGAACAAAACACAACAAAAAACAGTGGCTGTCAAGTCAATTCAGACTCATGGCAACCCCATGTGTGTCAGAGTAAAACTGTGCTCCACAGGGTTTTCAGTGGCTGGTTTTTTATAATTTGATCACCGGGCCTTTCTTCCAAGGCACCTCTAGACTTTTCAGTTAACAGCTGAGCACATTAACCACTTGCATCACCCAGAGACTTCTTGTTGTTGTTGTTTTTTGCCGTCGAGTCGGCCCCGACTCATAGCGACCCCTCCTTGGGTTTCCGAGGCAGTATTACTATGGAAGTAG